TGTTATGTGACAGAAAATGAGCATTTACACATATATGATCAGACGTGACGAGCATCTCTGTTAATCTCCCTTTCCCTCTAAAGAGGAGCATTGTGCAAGGTAAGTAAAAATACTAACATTATATTGTTAATGGCATGTTTCTAGAACATTTGCACAACATTTTCTAAAATATCCTATGAATGTAGCATTTTTTATGATCAGGCTGGTACACACACAAAAACACAGTCGACTACTGATAAATGCAGCTGTTTAGGATTGTGGTGACCGGGTGCATTAAATAAGAGCACAGAGTTAAAAAGAGTAATTGAATTGGGACTGGTAAAACTGTATTGCACTTAAACAGAGCTTGCTCTCATACTAAGTGCACTTATCAGGAGTCTACTGTACTCTGCACCATTCACTCACATCAGGGCACACTGACGGACACTAGCGCTGCAGATTGGGACAGACTTAGTGTCCCTATGGGCCCTGGTCAGAAGTAGTGCGCTATATAGGAAATAGGGTGCTCTAGAGTCCCACAGTGGAGGTGTCATAATACCCATAAAACCTAGCGGTCAAACAGGGAAATGGTTCCAATCATTTTTCCCATAGGGGATTTTCGAAACACTTAAAATAAGGACTGTGTTTCGTGTAGGCTTACCCTGGTGTGACATTTTGATAACCATCTAAATCTCTCTAGGACAAGGTGACTTTTATCAATATATTCGGCTCTACTCTCAGATTCGAAAATGCTAATTAGCATCAAAGCAGACATCATGCAAAACTACAAATCCCTGCAAGCTCCTGCACATCCTCTCGCTAACACCTTTGCTAACAGGTATTGTTTCAATTTAGAACTTGCACAAGACAGTTCACAGTATTGTCAATTTAAAGAAATGTAGCCAATTTATTCATTACTACATTTAGCTAACGTTAGAGTAAATCCAGAGATTCTTACCTTTGCCTCGATTCGGCAGTCTCGTCCAGATCATCATGGCATTTGTAGTTCTTTATGATAGCCACATTATCAGCTAATTAGCGTTTCATTTTTGGGGGTAAATCCAAGCGAATATATTGATAAAAGTCACCTTGTCCTAGAGAGATTTACATGGTTATCAAAACGTCACACCAGGGTAAGCCTACACATTTTTACATACGCTCTTATCCAGAGCGACTTACATTTTGTGAGTGCATACATTTTCATACTGGCCCCCCGTGGGAAACGAACCCACAACCCTGGTGTTGCAAGGGCCATGCTCTACCAACTGAGCTACAACGAAACACAGTCCTTATTTTAAGTGTTTCGAAAATCCCCTATGGGAAAAATGAATGGTGGAAAAAGGATTGGAACCATTTCCCTGTTTGACCGCTAGGTTTTATGGGTATTATGACACCTCCACTGTGGGGCTCTATTTAGGATGTAGATGTAGAAAAACACATGGCTTAAAGGGACACGGACAGACAGAAAGCAGCTCCAGCACTGTCTGTCTTTGGTTTCTCTCTCGTCACAAGTTCAGCGCTTCAGCCACTTTCCTTTCCTCAGGAATACCATTTACCTAGAATGGAGAATAAAATACCTTATTCAAACATATTGCGTCATATAATTTATTGGGATCTAATAGAAATATTGATTGTTTACAGGTTCTGAGAGGGAATATTGTAACTAAATTGTAACTAGTTTACTACTGTGGAAAGAAGTGGGGGGCACTCAGCCAACAAGAGTCGAGGTGCAACCAAAAAATGTGATCATCATTGAAAAGGAAAAGGTGCAATGCTCGCTCGACATTAATAACCTTTCATTTTATTTAAACAACTATTAAAAGCTTGACGTTTCAGCAATTGATGAAGGCCGAAACATCAAGCGTTTAATAGTTGTTTAAATTAAATATGTATTTAATGGTGAGCGAGCGTAGCGCTGCGCATTCTCGATTTCAACTTGTTTACTACTGTCATATTAAGTGCAAAGTAAAATAGTCTCAGCTATAGTTAAGAATGATTAAATTATACAACATAGAAAAAGCAGGCCAGTATACTTACCTCCAGTCTCCGAAATGTCGACATACAATAATTATCTCTATCTCCTTTGTTAGCAGTAAAATGAACAGACAGAGCAGTTAGCCAGAGCAGAGTTAGACAGAGCAGTGAGTTAGACAGAGCAGAGGGCCCTCTTGCAGGTCATTGACATGCACACAAGGAGGAGCTAAAGTCTAGTTAGACACAGTCACTACAGAACTGTAGGTGGGGTAAAGAATGAACAAAAATATAGACGCAACAATTTCAAAGATTTTACTGAGTTACAGTTCATATAAGGAAATCAGTCAATTGAAATACATTCATTAGGCCCTAATCTATGGATTTCACATGACTGGGAATACAGATATGCATCTGTTGGTCACAGATACCTTTAAAAAAAAAGGTGAAAGGTAGGGGTGTGGATCAGCAAACCAGTAAGTATCTGGTGTGACCACCATTTGCCTCATGCAGTGTGACACATCTCCTACGCATAGAGTTGATCAGGCTGTTGAATGTGGCCTGTGGAATGTTGTGCGAAGTTGCTGGATATTGGCAGGAAATGGAACACGCTGTCGTCCACGTCGATCCAGAGCATCCCAAACATGCTCAATGGGTGAAATGTCTGGTGAGTATGCAGGCCATGGAAGAACTGGGACATTTTCAGATCCTTGCGACATGGGGCCATGCATTATCATGCTGAAACATGAAGTGACGGCGGCGGATGAATGGCACGACAATGTGCCTCCGGATCTCATCACGGCATCTCTGTGTATTCAAATTGCCATCGATAAACTGCAATTGTGTTTGTAGCTTATGCCTGCCCATACCATAACCCCACCATGGGGCACTCTGTTCACAACGTTGACGTCACTAAACCGCTCGCCCACACACGCTGCCTGCCATCTGCCCGGTACAGTTGAAACCGGGATTCATCCGTGAAAAGCACACTTCTCCAGCATGCCAGTGGCCATCGAAGGCGAGCATTTGCCCACTGAAGTCGGATACAACGCCGGACTGCAATCAGGTCAAGACCCTGGTGAGGATGACGAGCACGCAGATGAGCTTCCCTGTGACGGTTTCTGACAGTTTATACAGAAATCCTTCAGTTGTGCAAACCCACAGTTTCATCAGCTATCGGGTGGCTGGTCTCAGACGATCTAGCAGTTGAAGAAGCCGGATGTGGAGGTCCTGGGCTGGCGTGGTTACACATGGTCTGCTGTTGTGAGGCCGGTTGGACATACTGCCAAATTCTCTAAAATGACGTTGGAGACGGCTTATGGTAGAGAAATGAATGATATGCCACACCTGTCAGGTGGATGGATTATCTTGGCAAAGGAGAAATGCTCACTAACATGGATGTAAACAAATTTGTGCACAACATTTGAGAGAAATAAGCTTTTTGTGCGTATGGAACATTTCTGGGATCTTTTATTTCAGCTCATGAAACATGGGACCAACACTTTACATGTTGAGTTTATATTTTTGTTCAGTATAGTTTGGAAAGGAGCAAAAATAGGCTATAAAGACTATTCTCACATCAGACACCCCAAGGACACACATTCTTTATAATACAACTTCCTATATCCCCTTAGGGCAACGAGGGCCTACTTCATATGGCTATCATGTTCAACTTCAACAGAGAGGAAAATCATTAATGCAATATCTATGCAGACTCTCAGATCAGAAATACCCCCATATGTTTTAACTTGAAGTAACTAACCACAATTGCATTTATATTTCTGTTCAGTGTATTTGGTTGATCTGGATAAAAAGATAATAGCAGGAAAGACAACTATTGCAGTCAGCATGAACTATGTTAACAGAACTGAGCCTCGATGCTATTTAATCTAAAATGTGATAGGTTAGATCAGTGGTAGTCACTAATATTTCTGAGGGAGCCACTTTTGTTAAACAAAATCCCTGGGTGAGCCGCCATACTCATCGGATAACGGGGGTTGGGGTGTCACAAACTCAAATTGATTCATAGGCCTATTACATAATATAAAATGGATTCACACATGATATTTAAGATACTATTAACATGGACCATCAAGCTATTTGATTCTCTGATTCTCTATTTTAGTTCACTTTGGGGTATATGAAACAACGTAAAAAATTATTTGATGAATCTTTTGAATCTGACCTTATTGTCATTATCTCAATAAAAGTTATAGCACAAAAATATGTGAAATCAGGTAATGGCAAATTTCAGGGATGGGGTCATATAGTCGGTAATAGCTGCAACCATTCAAAATCTAGAGCCGCGAGGAAGCGCTTTTACCGGTCCATTAGCGGATATCGACGGTTACTCACGTAACCACTGTTCTATGAACCAAACGGCGCATTCAGCTGACTGAGGAAAACACAACACATGCATTCAGAATATTGCAGCGAGCCGCCAATTAAGTTGCGGAAAGACACGTGTCTCGCAAGATGTAAAATGACTATGCTTGGGCTAGATGATTGAGGATGATCATGATTAATCTAAGTCCACGGTGTCATGTAACTCAGCGAGAGGCCTTAATGTATCATTTTCATTGGTTCAAGAGATAATAAACCAATCATACTAAAGCAGGAGTCAATACTAACCTGATGGCTGTTGCTGTGGTATCTGAATCTGGTTCTGCAGGTTTCTGAAATTAGAGAACAACTAATTATTAGCGCATTAAATGTTGTATACCATGCATAGCATTGTTTAGAGTCTAAGCCAGTGTGACAAAAGTCTCACTATGCTGGTTGTAAAACATGTGAGAGAGAGAGAGAGAGAGAGAGAGAGAGAGAGAGAGATAGAGAGGAGAGAGAGAGGAGAGAGAGAGAGAGAGAGAGACGACTAGAGAGGAGAGAGAAGAGATAGAGAGGGAGATAGGCGCGATAAGAGATAGAGAGATAGATCGAGCATATAGCGATATAGCTAGAGAGCAGATATCGCTATATAGAGAAGAGAGAGAGTTCTTGTATGTGTTTATGTCCCTGTGTGTGTTTGTGAACCCCAGCCACTCAGCCAGGACTCACGTCTGTGTCTGCATCAGGGGCATGCTGGTTGTCTCGTAGTTGTCTGGGTGTATCGGGGGTACCACTTCCCCACTTTGGCTGAAGACAGGCAGGGTGGAGAGGGGCCAGGAGATCTCCCTGTTCTTAGACATGCTCCGCAGCTCCTTGGTGGACTTCTGGATGGAGCTGTGGTGAACTAACTGGATACTGAGGAGAGGAGAGACGGATAGAAATATAGCCCATAAATGGACCATCTGAGCTCTTATCATCTCAGTCAACACGCACACTGTGGTGTACTGTACACACCTGCATTAAGGAAGACATATTAACATAGCAAATCTTTTGACAGCATTTGGTGTGTTTCTCCTTGGTAGGAGGAAACTGTGTTGTGTCGTTACTATTGGTCATCTGCCATCTGCTGAGTCTAGTGGAGGTTATTTGAGAGTATTTCTCCCCCTCCCTCTCATGCTTTCATTCTCATTATCTTTCTCTCTCTCTCTCTCTCTTTCTCCCCCCCCCCCCCCCCCCCCCCTCTCTAAACAAACCTGGTCTGAGATTTCCCTGCTTCAGTTACAGAACTATACCTTCTATCCTCAATCATTAGAGGTGGTGAACCAATATTTTACCCTGGATCTGTGGTTAGGATCAACTTCCTTTCTTAACATGCCCCTGCAGCTTTGAGCAGCTAATTGGATGACGGGATGTAAACACACAGATGACAGTATGGATGGACATGAACATGTCACCATGGCGATTTGAAAGCAAAAGGTGAAAGGGCAAATCAACTGAAGGATTGGGGGTTCAAGGAGGAACCAAAACAAATCAAACTCAAAAGAAAAGAAAAACACAGGAGAGGATAAACACTTACTCTGGTGTTTGCATGTTTCTTTTATCCCTAGAAACAAAACAAAATTAATGAATTAAATACTAATATTAATAGTTAAAAGACATTCACACAGAAGCAAATGGAGAGCATGTGGCATTGGCTGGATGGATGGATGGTGGGGGCGAAGGAACAAACAGTACTGCATGGACACGCTAAGTGGTGGGTGGTTGGAGGGGACAGTCTCTCCCAGCCTGTAAATGAGGGTGGGGGGTTGGAGGAGCAATACAATGGTTGGTTGGCCATCTATGTCATGATGATTGTGCTAATAACCATCAAAATGAGTATGAGAAATCAACCTGAGACAGAACAGTGGAACGTATGGAGAACATACATGGACCATAAAACTGGATGGTTATTGACAAGCTGCGTTTCCACAATATTTAACCTCTTGACTTCCATCTATAGTGGCTAAGTAGCATAACGAAACATCCCTTAACTCCCACTGAGGGCCTGTGTCACTGCACTCAGACTAATCAGTCAATCCCTCAGGATCTAAGAACCCCTACATGACAATTCGAAAGAAAAGTCCAACTGTACACATGTATCTCCTCAACTCACATCAAAACAACACTATGCTTTTGTGTCCATCTCTTTAATAGTGTACGCCTACATGTGTGTTTAGTGTTTGTGTGTGTGTGTGTTGTGTCTGCGTTTGTGTTAGTGTGTGTTTTAGTCTGTGTGTGTCTCTTTTGGTCAGAAGTGAAAGCAGCACACTTACACCCCTTCTCGCCGGCAGCACATGGAGTAACCCAGGATGGTGAAGAGGACCATGGCCACGGCCGAGGGCACCGCCAACGTGATGAGGAAGTCGGCAAAGAAGTCCCTGCTCTTCAGAGACTCTGATGGGGGGTTGTACTCCCCGATGTCAGGCAGAACCCCCGTCCCTGGGTCTGGACGGTTACTGTGGATCATGACCACCTTGGTGATGTCCACCTGGAGAAGAGAGAGGTTCAATCAGCACTTCATCTACTTTAGATATTAGGGTGGCAAAATTCCGTTAATTTACCCAAAATTCTGAGTTTTTCCAGAAATCCCGGTTGGAGGATTCACAGATTTCCTGGTTATTCCCACCTGATTCCAGTAATCTTCCAACATGATTTCTGGATAACATTGAGAATTTGGGAAAGTTACCAGAATTTGGAACACTAAAAGATATGGATTGGTGATATTAGCAGGGTGGCTGGGCAAATACACTGAATACAAATATAAACACAACAAAGTGTTGGTCCCATGTTTCATGAGCTGAAATAAAAGATCCCAAAAATGTTCCATACGCACAAAAAGCTTGTTTCTCTCAAAAGTTGTCCACAAATGTGTTTACATCCCTGTTAGTTAGCATTTCTCATTTGCCAAGATAATCAATCCACCTGACAGGTGTGGCATATCAAGAAGCTGATTAAACAGCATGATCATTACACAGGTGCACCTTGTGCTGGGAACAATAAAAGGCCACTCTAAAATATGCAATTTTGTCACACAATACAATGCCACAGATGTCTCAAGTTTTGAGGGAGTGCGCAATTGGCATGCTGACTGCAGGAATGTCCACCAGAGCTGTTGCCAGATAATTGAATGTTCATTTCTCTACCATAAGCCGCCTCCAAAGTCATTTTAGAGAATTTGTCAGTACGTCCAACCGGCCTCACAACCGCAGACCACGTGTATGGCGTCGTGTGGGTGAGCGGTTTGCTGATGTCAACGTTGTGAACAATGCCCCATGGTGGCGGTGTGGTTATGGTATGGGCAGGCATAAGCTACAGACAATGAACACAATTGCATTTTATCAATGGCAATTTGAATGCACAAAGATACAGTGACGAGATCCTGAGGCCCATTGTCGTGCCATTCATCTGCCGCCATCATGTCACGGTTTCGGCCGAGGCTGCTCCTTCTCCTTGTTCGGGCAGGCTTCGGCGGTCGTCGTCTCCGGAGTACTAGCTGCCACCGTTCGTTGTTTCTGTGTTTGTTTGGTTTGGTCTGTTTTGGTACACCTGTTTCTCATTTTGTCTTGATTATGTGTCCTTTAAGTTCTCGTTGTTTCTGTCTTGTGGTTGTGTGTAGTTGTTCCTTGTCAGCTGGTGCTTCCAGTCAGTTAATGCTCTATTTTGTATTTGATAGAGAGTCCGCACTTGTTGTGCGTGTTTGCTGTGTTTTGCATTAATACGCTGTGTGCCTTATTTTTCTCGTGCCTCCGGCTTTGTGTGTAGCCGTTCTTTTGTGGACTTTACTAAAGTATTTTTGGACTAGCATCTGTGTCCTGCATCTGATTCCTACACCACACCTACGCCCGCTCTGACACATCACCTCATGTTACAGCATGATAATGCACGGCCCGATGTCACAAGGATCTGTACACAATTCCTGGAAGCTGAAAATGTCCCAGTTCTTCCATGGCCTGCATACTCACCAGACATGTCACCCATTGAGCATGTTTGGGATGCTCTGGATCGACGTGTACGACAGCATGTTCCAGTTCCCACCAATATCCAGCAATTTTGCACAGCAATTGAAGAGGGGTGGGACAACATTCCACAATCAACAGCCTGATCAACTCTATGCGAAGGAGATGTGTCGCGCTGCATATGGCAAATAGTGGTCACACCAGATACTGACTGTTTTTCTGATCCACACCCCTACCTTTTTTCTTTAAATGTATCTGTGACCAATAGATGCATATCTGTATTCCCAGTCCTGTGAAATCCATTGATTGGGACTAATGTATTTATTTAAAGTGACTGATTTCCTTATATGAACTGTAACTCAGTGGAATCTTTGAAATTGTTGCATGTTGCGTTTATATTTTTGTTCAGTATACATGCTCAAATATACAAAAAATATACATTTTCTTCAGAAGATTGTGGATTGGCTGTGTGTGTGTGTGTGTGTGTGCGGGTATATGACATAACACACACAAACACATACACACTATAATTTTTGTTTGATATGGTCAGAGAACAGGTCAAGAGGTCACGCCATGGCTCCAGGGTCCTGTACAGTCCTCACCAGGTTGATCTTGCACCAGTCAATGTCGAACTGGGCCCTGAACTTCTTGTCACAGCTGATGACAGGCTCCATCTCCTGGCTGCAGCGGAGCTGGTTGTGGGGGTTCTCCACCTCCCGCAGGCAGGAAGAGAACTGGACGTCTGCCCCCACCATCACATACACACTGGAGAGGGAGGGAGTTAGACAGTGGCTTATAATACAGGTGGCTGGTGGCCCCTTAATTGGGGAGGACAGGCTCATTGTAATGGCTGGAATGGAATTAATGGAATAGGATCAAATACATCAACAACATGGTTTCCATGTGGTTGATTCCATTCCCTTTACTCCATGCCAGCCATTATTATGAGCCGTCCTCCCCTCAGCAGCCTCCTGTGGTATACAGGTACGGTATAATGACAGAGAGACTGTTAGTGGTATATCTGATAATACAGATATAATGACAGAGAGACAGTTAGTGGTATATCTGATAATACAGATATAATGACAGAGAGACAGTTAGTGGTATATCTGATAATACAGATATAATGACAGAGAGACAGTTAGTGGTATATCTGATAATACAGATATAATGACCGAGAGACAGTTAGTGGTATATCTGATAATACAGATATAATGACCGAGAGACAGTTAGTGGTATATCTGATAATACAGATATAATGACAGAGAGACTGTTAGTGGTATATCTGATAATACAGATATAATGACCGAGAGACAGTTAGTGGTATATCTGATAATACAGATATAATGACAGAGAGACTGTTAGTGGTATATCTGTTAATACAGATATAATGACCGAGAGACAGTTAGTGGTATATCTGATAATACAGATATAATGACCGAGAGACATTTAGTGGTATATCTGATAATACAGATATAATGACAGAGAGACTGTTAGTGGTATATCTGATAATACAGATATAATGACCGAGAGACAGTTAGTGGTATATCTGATAATACAGATATAATGACCGAGAGACTGTTAGTGGTATATCACCTGACTAATCTACACACAAACATGCAAGCACATTTGAGGTAAAGGAGAGGAGAGTAAGATTTAACAGCTAGGTTACACAGTAATATCTTACCAACCACTGACACACACACTTTCACAATCCCACTCAGACTGACTTCCAATGTGAACCACATAGTGTTTTCCTCCTCCTGTCTCAGTCAGTATGGTGAGGTTCCTGGTACTGTTCTGTCAGGGTATCTTAGTCCTGCTGGCTGTGTCTTTCTATGGAGCTCTCCTCTAGAATCTTTTATCTTCACAAACGGGGCCATGCATGTTTTATGAACAACTTATGGCAAATCATGTGGGGATTCATTCTCCCTGACTGCTACAAACTGCCTGTAGTGTTTGTCTGAGGCTTTAATGTCTAATACAGTGTGTTGATCTGGATCTCTCTCTCTCTCTCTCTCTCTCTCTCTCTCTCTCTTACAGTGGTAAGGTTACTGTAAGGTTACTCATGCATTGCATAAGCACCTTTAAGTTCATGTTTATGTTGCAACTGATGCAATAACATTTTGTGAACATGCTTATTTAAGAATACAATACTTTGATGATGACTGTAGACAAGGCATTATAAAGCTGCTATAGTACTTCTGAGGATGCTAATTAGGTTAAAAAAAATATGCTTTTATGTCTGTATCTATCCTTTCCCTCATATGCAATATTTAAATTCATCATCATACTCTGTCCTGTTCCTGGAAGTGCTAAAGATACTTGAATTCATCATCATCTATCATCTGAAGATACTTGAATTCATCATTCTCTATCAACTGAAGATACTTGAATTCATCATTCTCTATCAACTGAAGATACTTGAATTCATCATCCTCTATCAACTGACGATACTTGAATTCATCATCCTCTATCAATTGAAGATACTTGAATTCGTCATCCTCTACCAAACTATGTATCAAACTACTCTGGTCCTGTAAGGGCTACTGATGGTGACCCTGTTCCTCACCCCAATGAGTTTGTTGATGGGCAGGGGAACGCGTCCGCCCCTGTCCAGGGCCGAGGTGATGTTGATATGTAAAATCTTCCTCATACTCTGTTAAACCATGTATTGAACTGCACTAAAGAGGGTCACTCACCCATAGAGAGATGTGTTTCTGATTCTTTTTCTACGCACTCACCCCTCTTTGAGGTTGTTTATGGGCAGGGGAACGCGTCCGCCCCTGTCCAGCGCTGAGGTTATGTTGATGGCGTTGAGGCGTTCGGGCTGCCACACGTTCTTCACTGCGCCCAGGAAGTCTCCCAGAACCTCGCTGGTGCCACCATCATCACTCACACCATTCATGTTCTTTATGAAGAACCGGCCTGGTTAGCGTGAAGTGGTCCTCTGAGGAGGGAGGAGGGATATGAGTGTGAGAGAGAGAGAGAGAGATGAGAGAGATGAGAGAGATAGAGAGAGAGAGATATAGCGCGAGAGAGCGAAGCGAGGATAGACGAGAGAGAGAAGAGCGAAAGATATAGATCTTCTATCTCGCTCTAGCCATCTACTCGCTCGTATCCTCATCTAGCTCGTGAGTGATAGTATTTACTCTTTATCTGTTCAGTTTAATAGGCCCAATATCATTCTGTGAACAAAGTGTACATGTACAGTACATCTCTCACTGACACCCATATGTAATGACATTTAATGGCCGTGATATCAGACGAGCTGTAACATAATCTCTAACTTGACACCCCATATGGTAATGGACAATTTAAATGGCCCCATAATATCAGACAAGCTGTTCGACAGAGGCCAATGTTTGTCTGCTCTGTTTTGTGTCTGTTATGACAGCGGCTCGGCTCAGGGCAGATGGCTGATGACGTCACTGCGCAGTGTGAGTGAGGTCACACCGTACTTGTGGGCCAGAAACAGCTGGGCAGCTTTTCACCCGGCACCATGGTTATTGTATCACATGTAGAGTGAGACTCTGTACAGACATACAGTACAATGAGATGTATACAGATGTAGGATCTTAATTTGATCACCCTGTTGCAGGAGAACTTTCCTGCAATGCAGGACATTTTAGAACTTGTAATGTATATGAGGTTTAAAAAGGCATCTGAAGTTTGTAATTTCCAATTTGAAATTTCAGACTTGATTTTCCCTGTATCAGCCCTACCAAAATGCCAATAAATTATAATCTACATAATAATTCAAATGTCTTGTTGCTGCAGGACTATTTTCCTGCTGTGGCAAACTGGCTCAAATTAAGATCCTACATCTGTACTGTAGCTGTAGGCCTCAACATGAAGAGCATTTACAATACTGTTTTAATCTGTCCATTTTACACAATCATTTGCTCCCTATAGGAACACCGAGGGAGGCATTGGTTATTGTGGTACTGTGTATGACTTTATTGCAAGTCACAGAAGAAATGTACTGTTACAATCTAACTACTTGTTTAGAGTACTAGGCCAGTTTTCAGTCAATTGCAGACAGTGGATTTTCAGATAGCGCTTTCAGAAGTGTGTTGGTTGATTTGCACAGCTGTGAGTCCCGTATTGGACTGTGTTGACACTTGATTAAAAAATTGCCGGTCTGGTTGAGTGTGTGGTGTTAGCCTTTTAGGTTGATGAATTATGGATAATATATTAATATATATTATGTGAATGATATTCAGCCATTCTTGAAGGAAATTGAAAAATTAGCTTTTGGGCATTTTAGTCAACATCGGAAGCAACCCTCTAGATTTCAATTAAGAACATCCTCCTTCATCATTTCCTCACTAAGCCTGTCCTTTGTCTCTCTCACTCTCTTTCTTACCTTCCGTGGACATGATGTTTATGACCAAGTTGTGCCGGGCCGTTTCGAAAGTGCGTCTGTTATAGGCAGTAATCTGGAACACATAAGGGTAAAAATGTAATCCCAGATCACTACAGTTTATGTCCTAGGGTGAGGCTCGCCGGCGAGGTCCGAGCCAGATGCAAACATATTCCATAGTAGAAGGCTCAGAGGGAAGAGGGAAGAGGGGCACCGCATCCTCCAGGAACATTCCTACAGGGAACCTAAAGCCTTTGGGAACATGCTACAGTAGTTTAGACACATAATGGACACAGGTCTATAACCCTAGAAAAAGGCTTATCACAACGCACCATGTGACAGCTATTACATATGTGCAAAAACATATTAATCTACCTGTGAACATAGAGTACCTCAGTATGAGTCATAATACCCATAAAACCTAGTGGTCAAACAGGGAAATGGTTCCAATCGTTTTTTCCATCATTCATTTTTCCCATAGGGGATTTTAGAAACACTTAAAATAAGGGCTGTGTTTCGTGTAGGCTTACCCTGGCGTGACATTTTCATGTAAATCTCTCTAGGACAAGGTGACCTTTATCAATATATTCGCCTGTATTTACCCCCCCCCAAAATGAAATGCTAATTAGCTGCTAATGTGGCTATCATAAAGAACTACAAATGCCATGATGATCTGGACGAGACTGCCGAATCGAGGCAAAGGTAAGAATCTCTGGATGAACTATCTAATGTTAGCTAAATGTAGTAATAGATAAATTGGCAAATGTCTTTAAATGGACAATTCTGTGAACTGTCTTGTGCATGTTTTAAATTGACAATACCTGTTACCAAAGGTGTCAGCTAGAGATGACGTGCAAGAGTAAATAGAGCCGAATATATTGATAAAAGTCACCTTGTCCGAGAGAGATTTACATGGTTATCAAAACGTCATGCCAAGGTAAGCCTACACGAAACACAGCCCTTATCGTGGGGCTCTATTGCTGGACCATATACTGTAAAATATACCCATAACCACTACTATGATTGTTCCAGGTTGTGCCCACATATCTGACTGACAGGACCCTGGCTGGCAAACATAACTGCGACCAGGTGAATGCACATGATTTTACATTCCCCAAGGCTGAACATTTCAATGTTCAAAACATTTCAATGCTATAATTGAATGTAGGGATGTAGCTCAGTTGATAGAGCATGGCGTTTGCAACGCCAGGGTTGTGGGTTCGATTCCCACGGGGGACCAGTATAAAAAAAATATGTATTCACTAACTGTAAGTCGCTCTGGATAAGAGCGTCTGCTAAATGACTAAAATGTAAAAAATGTAAAAATGATAATTGATTAATTGATTGATTGATTAATTGGATTTATAACTACTAATGTACTGTAGTTTAGTATGTGTGTGTGTGTGTGTCAGAGAGAGAGAAAGCTCCACTGTTCATGACTGCAGACAAACAACTCTAACTCCATTAGCAGCAAATGGAGCCACACACCTCTATGATGGTTGCCTTGCCCACGTGTTCTGCAGTGGGGGATCCATAGAGCACCCCATCGCTGTGTGGGGTCCTCTGGATGTAGCGCAGCCAGCCTGGCCGGTCTGGGTAGCCCATCAGGTTGGTGTTGAAGGTGATGGGGTCGTTGCTGGAATCCCCTGTACGGACAGACGTTGGTACATGTACAATAAACGCTTAGCCTAGTAGTCAACTAGGCCCTGAGAGTGGGATTTGAGACTGAGAGATGTAAATGCTACTCAGACACTGACGTTTATGGTGACATTGATACGGTCTCTGTATTTGCTGTACTGTCACTTAGCTAAATATATTTTATTACTGAATAGATGAGTATTTATCATTAGTATTAATAATAAATAGGTAGCCTCATAGAAGTAATAGTACAATTAGTAATCTGGTTATTATTGTATTGAGAGATCCAATGAGGAACACAGACACAGACCAGGTTTGGGATAGGGGGGGAACTCTCCTTTGAAGTGCTCTCTCTCCAGGACGTGGACAAACAGTACGCCTGCAGACGGGTAGACGTTCCGGTCGGCGTGCGACCTCGACAGGATGGTTACCACTGGAGCACACAGAGAGAGAGGACACAGAGAGTATTAGCTGGGGTTCCTGTGTGTTTGTGTGTTTGTGTTTGTTTGTGTGTGTGTGTGTTTGTGTGTGTGTGTGTGTGTGTGGATGTGTGTGTGAGAAAGAGTCATAGAGTGTGTTTGTTTGTGTGTGTGTGTGTGTCTTCATCATTAAGCCCCTGCCAACCGCAATCATGAGAGAGAAAATGTCCCTTTCCAAGGTGAAAATCCCCATCAAAATATGTGAGGGGAAAGTGCTGTAGTCTCTTATGGTTTTCAAATTATTTGGACTCGTGACAGATAAATCGACGTCATCTGGGTGCCAGTCTATTTCTGCTTTAAAGGGGCAATCTGCAGTTGCTACATCCATTTTTTGACTTTTAAACTAACCAGGTCCATAATTATTGGCACCCTTCATACAGATGAGCAAAAAAGACTGAAACATTTTAGAAAAAGGTTCAGTGCCGTTATCCTCGCAAGGGAAGGGTGCTGGAGTATTGAAAACAGGGGATCCAATCATTTTTAACCCCTATCTTTTTTAGATTTTTGTATTACTTATTAAACAAAATCTATTTCTCTGAGCAATTGTATTAGTATAAAATAATACAATTTTAAATGTTTTGAGCATATTTGTATTATTTATTTTATGCAGTCTTTTTTGCTAATCTTTATCAAGGGTGCCAATAATTATGAACTTGACTGTATATACATTTTAGTCATTTAGCAGACACTCTTACCCAGAGCGATTTACAATAGCGAGTTTATACATTTTCATACTGGTCCCCGGTGGGACTCAAACCCACGTCGCTGGCGTTGCAAGCGCCATGCTCTACCAACTGAGCCACACGGGAACATCTACCCATTGATTATTGAAGGAATATAACTTCATCTGCCTCATGTGCTTAGTTCAACTGTCGTACCCCATCAGGCCCTAAAATATCAGCTTGTTTTCATCCTTTGTTTGTAAATAATGTAAATGTAAATAAACACTACATAGCCTCAAAACATGGTTAAAACTATAATAGTCAGTCCCTGTATCCATAGCTCTGTCCATGAGTTTGAGAGTGGTTGAATTTCTCCAGCCCCATCCCTCAGCTGTTTACCAAATCACTGGCGGGGCAACTGCTTTGTTATTGTTCAAACAGCAGATTTCCCCTTTAACCAATTTGTTTTCTTGCCAAACAAGGCCAGTAGTATATAGCCAGAGAGGTCAAAATCATTCAGTCTCTTTGATATAGGCCTAGCCTAACGCTGATGAGTCCAGGAACAGTCAGCCAGGCACCCAGTCTGCAGTCCACTTGTCAGTAGTTGTTAAGAGCTAAAGGTCTATGATATCAGGAACCAGAGTGAATGGTTGTCAACAACAGTAGGGAGCTGCAGTACTGGGACTCAGTCAGCCTCTTAAAGTCTTAAAGCTACAGTCTGGGATTTGAACAACCAAACAGCCGCCCCGCCACTTGTTTAGGTAAACAGCTGTCAGATGGGGGGTTCTGAAAGGGTATGACAGTTTTGCAAAAATCAGGAGGCATTTATATGTTATATTCCCAAATAATCAATGGCTCTATATCATTCATTTAAAAGTACAAAAATGGTTGTCCCAATCCCAGACTGTAGCTTTAAGAAGCACATTCCGGAACCTAGCGCTGCTATTCTTCTCTGTCTCATACTCCCTGACTCCATTATACCAGTCTACTGTTTAGACCCACTCCATTTAGAACACACACTTATTCTTTATTCAGGATGTGTTGCAGAGGCAAATGGCATCTCTTAAAATGGTTTATGCAAGATAGAGCTGGAGGTGTGCCATTACCCTCTCTCTCCTCCCCATCCTCCTCTACCTCCTCCCCATCCTCCTCCTCCCCATTCCTCCTCTACCTCCTCCTCCTCCTCCTCCTCCTCTCCCTCCTCCTGATCCTCCACCTCCTCCTACTCTCTCTCCTCCTCCTCCCCTCCCTCCTCCTCCTCCTCTCTCCTCCTCTCTCCTCCTCCTCCTCTCTCCTCCTCCTCCGCTACCTCCTCTTCCCTCCCCCTCCTCTACCTCCTCCTCCTTTCCCCTCCCCCTCTACCCTCCTCCTCCTCCCCTCCTCCTCTACCGTCCTCCTCCCCCCCCTCCCTACTACCTCCTCCTCCCCCTCCTCCTCTACCTCCTCCTCCTCCTCTACCTCCCTCCCTCCCCATCCTCCTCCTCCTCCTTCTCTTCCTCTTCCTCCTCCTCCTCCTCCTCTACCTCCTCCTCCTCCCGATTCCTCTAACCCTCCTCCTCCTCCCCATCCTCCGCCTCCTCTACCTCCTCCTCTACCTCCTCCTCATCTACCTCCTCCTCCTCCTGATCCTCCACTACCTTCTCCTCCTCCTCCTCCTCCTCCTCCTCTACCTCCTCCTCCCCATCCTCCTCCCCCTCCTCCTCCTCCTCCTCCTCATCCTCCTCTACTTTGGTTTGACAGAGCGTATCTTTTTTTTAAAGTTTTTTTTGTGTGGGTAGATCAGCTTTAATATTGCAGATAGATTGTAACTTCCATCAATGTAATTGACTGCCTCCTCCTCCTCCCCATCTCTCCTCCTCCCCATCCTCCTCTACCCTCCCCTCCCCATCCTCCTCTACCCCTCCTCCTCCTCTTCCCTCCTCCTTCCCTCCTCCTCCTCCTCCTCTCTCCTCCCTCCCCTCCTCCCTCCTCCTCCCCCCTCCTCCCCCGTCTCTCCTCTCCTCCTCCTCCCATCCCTCCTCTAACCTCCTCCCCTCCTCCTCTCCCCTCCTCCTCCTCTCCTCCTCCTCTCCCTCCTCCTCCTCCTCCCCTCCTCCCTCCTCCTCTCCTCCTCCTCCTCCTCCGCTCCCTCCCTCTCCTCCTCTCCCCTCCTCCTCACCCCTCCCCTCCTCCTCCCTCCTCCCTCCTCATCTCCTCCTCCCCTCCTCCTCTCTCCCCTCCTCCTTCCTCCCCTCCTCCCCTCCACTCTCCTCCTCCTCCCATTCCTCCTCCTCCCCTCCTCCTCTATCCTCCTCCTCCTCCTCGTACCTCCTCCCCATCCTCCCTCCACCCCTCCTCCTCCTCCTCTACCTCCTCCTCCTCCTCTACCTCCCCTCACCTCCTCCTCTCCTATCCTCCTCTTCTCTCCCCTCTCCCATCCCCCCTCCTCCACCTCCTCCTCCTCTCCTCCTCCTCCTCCTCCCCCTCCTCCTCTACCTCCCCTCCTCCTCCCCTCCTCTACCTCCTCTTCCTCCTCCTCGCCCCCCACCCCCCCTCCTCCTCCCCTCCTCCTACCTCCTCCTCCCCCCCCTCCTCCACCTCCTCATCACCTCTCCTTCCTCCTCTCCTACCTCCTCTCCTCCTCCCTGATCCTCCCACCCCACCCCCCTCCTCCCGATCCTCCTTTCCTCTTCCTCCTCCCCACTCCTCCTCCCTCCTCCTCTACTCTCTTCCTCTTCATCTCCCCCTCCTCCTCCTCCTCCTCTACTTCTTTCTTTCTCCTCCTCCAGTGGGTGGGAGCTACATTTTTAATCACCATGGGAGAGTGAGTGTGCTGGGAAGGGAGGGAAAACTGCAGTACAGTGTGTGAGTGTGTGTGTGTGTGTGTGTGTGTGTCAAAGAGAGAGACAGCTCCACTGTTCATGACTGCAGACAAATAACTCTAACTCCATTGGCAGCAAATGGAGCCTGGAAGAGCTGAAAAAAGGTCCATACTCCCTACTGGAAAACATGTTACCATCATCATCTTCATTCTTCATCATTGTTAAAACATATTGGTAGATTTAGGCCAATTTCCTGGACACAGATTAGGCCTAGTCCTACCTGGACTAAAAATCACTTTCAACAGAGAATGAACATGCTTTTTAGTCCAGGACTAGGCTTAATCTGTGTCTGGGAAACCAGCCCATAACCTTTAGTTAATTGGCGTTACAGTAAACACAGCAAGAGTCCATACAAAGGGTTAAACCACTCTGGTACAGACGAGATTACAGGCAGTCAGATTTTGAAAACACGACACACACAGACCCTTTCTAGTACACACAGACACTAACCTATATCCTATCCAGTACACACAGACACTAGCCTATATCCTGACTAGTACACACAGACACTAAGCTATGTCCTATCCAGTACACACAGACACTAACCTATATCCTATCCAGTACACACAGACACTAACCTATATCCTATCCAGTACACACAGACACTAACCTGTGTCCTATCCAGTACACACAGACACTAGCCTATATCCTATCCAGTACACACAGACACTAACCTATGTCCTATCCAGTACACACAGACACTAGCCTATATCCTGACTAGTACACACAGACACTAACCTGTGTCCTATCCAGTACACACAGACACTAGCCTATATCCTGACTAGTACACACAGACACTAACCTATATCCTATCCAGTACACACAGACACTAGCCTATATCCTGACTAGTACACACAGACACTAACCTATGTCCTATCCAGTACACACAGACACTAGCCTATATCCTGACTAGTACACACAGACACTAACCTATATCCTATCCAGTACACACAGACACTAGCCTATATCCTGACTAGTACACACAGACACTAACCTATATCCTATCCAGTACACACAGACACTAGCCTATATCCTGACTAGTACACACAGACACTAACCTATGTCCTATCCAGTACACACATTTACATTTTAGTCATTTAGCAGATGCTCTTATCCAGAGCGACTTACAGTTAGTGAGTGCATACATTTTTCATACTGGCCCCCCGTGGGAATCGAACCCACAACCCTGGCGTTGCAAGCGCCATGCTCTACCAACTGAGCTACAGGAGGCCACACAGACACCAGCCTATATCCTGACTAGTACACACAGACACTAAACTTAATTCTATCCAGTACACACAGACACTAACCTATGTCCTATCCAGTACACACAGACACTAACCTATACCCTGTCTAGTACACACAGACACTAACCTATACCCTGTCTAGTACACACAGACACTAACC